AGGGAACTGTCAAAGACAAAATTACGACACATTTGGTTTAAAGATCTGAGTTATCTCTACTGCAATTCTAGAATCAGGCAACATTTCATGTTATGAGATAGAATAAGTGTTCAATGAGTGAAGCAGAGGAGTTTGGCTTTATACACAGAAAAGGGGCTGAAGAAAGCAGAAACAGAACAAAAGGCAAATATCATTTCTAAAGCTACAATACTTTTCTGGTAAGGCAAGAACAATGGAAAGATAACTGATTGGTTTACATCAGGTGAGTTCAGGTTACTTTTTGCTGTAAGGCTAAAAACAGAACTTCATTAACATACCAGTTGAAGATTCTAACTGGACTGGCCTGTTAGGGAAATTAGATGCGCACGCTTTCTCTCTCTATGTCTCTTTTAAACAAGGTCTCACTCTGCAGCCCAGGCTGACCTCACTGTAGTCTTGACCTCCTGGGCTCAAGCGATCCTCCCACCTCAGCCTCCCTAGTAACTGGGACTATAGGAGCTCGTCACCACACCTGGCTAATTTTTGTGTGTATTTTTTGTAGAGACAGAGTTTCGCCATGTTGCTCAGGCTGGTCTAGAACTCCTGGGTTCCAGTAATCCACCTCCCTCAGCTTCCCAAAGTGCTGGGATTATAGGCATGAGCCACCGTGCCTGTCTGGGCTATCTCTTGATTTCTCAGGTCAGATAACAACTGTTTCAGTTTAGTAACCGTGAGGACTCCATCTTGATTTTTGGTCTTGTCTGTTGGGACCTAGTGCAGGAGTTTAGTACAAAGCAATAGCCTCCTATAATTTTTGTTTAGCAGAACAGGGAGTGAATGCCAGGGGAGGATCACTGATGGTCATCTTAGAGGTGGCTAGTACAAGGAGTGGAAATACTTTCATATTTTGGACACTTATTCTGTACCAGGCAACGGGTACAGCAGTTTTTATGTATTATTTATTTTTTGAGTCAGTCTCACTCTGTCACCCAGGCTGGAGTGCAGTGGCAGAATCTTGGCTCACGGCAACCTCCGCCTCCTGGGTTCAAGCAATTCTCTTGCCTCAGCCTCCCAAGTAGCTGAGATTACAGGCGCTCACCATGATACCTGGCTAATTTTTTGTATTTTTAGTAGAGACGGGGTTTCACCATGTTAGCCAGGCTGGTCTCAAACTCCTGACCTCAAGTAATCCACCTGCCTCAGCCTCCCAAAGTGCTGGGATTACAGGCATGAGCCACCATGCCCGGCCATTTATCTATTATTTTCTTTCTTCTCCTTCCCTCCTCCTCCTCCTTGTTCAACCCAGTTAGGCAGGTATTATTGTTAGCTTTGTTTTTGCATTGGAGGAAGCTGTGGCTTATAAAGGTTAAACCTCTTGACCAAGGCCGCTATGCTAGCAGGTGACAAAGTCAGGTCAGTCTGATGTTAGAGGCCAATTGCTTAACATCCTCTCATAAAAAGAGTTTGGGGACCAGGTTAGGGAAGAGGTTTGCTCTTGAGATAAATGTCAGAATCCCAGGAATCCGAATGCACAGACAGGATTCTCAGTGGCCCCGAAAATGTGACTGTAACTCCTACACTTAGATCCTTCCCTGAGGGGTACGTAGGGGGCGGGCGGTAGGGCTGGAGTTGGTTTCAGCTGCGGTGAGAAAACCACTGTGAAAACCATGTTGATCGTCACACCTGCTCCTACTATTGCAGAGTACACAGGATTTCACATCCCTGGATGTCGGTTAATCTGTGATAAATAGCCTTGGTAAAACCTGTGATGGCAACTTGCCTCTGAGCCTGGTGTGTACTTTATATAAGTTATGACAAGGCTGGGCTAGGGGTCTCACACCTCTAATCCCAACACTTTTGGAGGCCGAGAAAGGAGGATTGATTGAATCTGGGAATTTGAGGTCAGCCTGGGCAATATAGGGAGACCTCATCTCTACAAAAAATTTTAAAACTTAGCCAGACCTGGTGGCGCACCTGTGGTTCCAGCCACTTGGGAGGCTGAGGTGGGAGAATCACTTGAGCCCAGGAATTTGAGACTAGCCTGGACAACATGGCGAAACCCCATCTCTACAAAAAAATACACAAAAATCTTGGCCAAGCGTGGTGGTGCATGCCTGTGTTCCCAGCTACTGGGGAGGCTGAGGTGGGAGGATCACTTGAGCCTGGGAAGTTGAGGTTGCAGGAAGCTATGGTTGTGCCACTGCACTCCAGCCTGGGTGACACAGCAAAACCTTGTCTCAAAAACGAACAAACAAAAGCTATGACATAGTAGCCAACAGGGTTTCCTAGCTCATCTTTGCTCAGTACCATGTCCTTTAAACTGCCACCAAATGAAAAAAGAGTCCCAATTGGAGTTCCAAACACAGGCGTCTAGTCCCCACTCTGCCTCTTACTAGCTATATTGTGGGGAAAAGAAAGAGAGATCAGACAGTTACTGTGTCTATGTAGAAAGAAGTAGGCCGGGTGCGGTGGCTCAAGCCTGTAATCCCAGCACTTTGGGAGGCCAAGACGGGCGGATCACGAGGTCAGGAGATCGAGACCATCCTGGCTAACCCGGTGAAACCCCGCCTCTACTAAAAAAAATACAAAAAACTAGCCGGGCAAGGTGGTGGACGCCTGTAGTCCCAGCTACTCGGGAGGCTGAGGCAGCAGAATGGCGTAAACCTGGGAGGCGGAGCTTGCAGTGAGCTGAGATCCGGCCACCGCACTCCAGTCTGGGCGACAGAGCGAGACTCCATCTCAAAAAAAAAAAAAAAAAGAAAGAAGTAGACATAAGAGACTCCATTTTATTCTGTACTAAGAAAAATTCTTCTGCCTTGCGATACTGTTAATCTGTAACCCTACCCCCAACCCTGTGCTTGCAGAGACTCAAGGTGCTGTGTTGACTCAAGGTTTAATGGATTTAGGGCTATGCAGGATGTGCTTTGTTAAACAAGTGCTTGAAGGCAGTATGCTTATTAAAAGTCATCAACATTCTCTAATCTCAAGTACCCAGGGACACAATACACTGTGGAAGACCACAGAGACCTCTGCCTAGGAAAGCCAGGTATTGTCCAAGGTTTCTCCCCATGTGATAGGCTGAAATACGGCCTCGTGGGAAGGGAAAGACCTGACCGTCCCCCAGCCCGTGACACCCATAAAGGGTCTGTGCTGAGGAGAATTAGTAAAAAAGGAAGGCATCTGTTTCCTGCTTGTCCCTGGGCAATAAAATGTCTCGGTGTAAAACCCGAGTGTATGTTCTATTTACTGAGATAGGAAAAAACTGCCTTAGGGCTGGAGGTGAGATGTGCTAGATGCAAAGCTGCTTTCTAATGCACCAAGATGTTTATGTATGTGCACATCAAAGCACAGCACCTTTTTCTTAACCTTGTTTATGACCCAGAGACATTTGTTCACATGTTCTCCTGCTGACCCTCTCTCTCCCCATTATTACCCTATTGTCCTGCCACGTCCCCCTCTCAGAGATGGTAAAGATAATGATCAATAAATACAGAGGAAACTCAGAGACTGGTGCGGAGCCAGTCCTCCCTATACTGAGTGCCAGTCCCCTGGGCCCACTTTTCTTTCTCTATACTTTGTCTCTGTGTCTCTTTCTTTTCTCAAGTCTCTCCTGACAAGAAACACCCACAGGTGTGGACGGGCTGGCCCTTCATGTATGAGAGCTGGGGTCAATGGCCCCCTTCTGTTGGGCCCTCAGTTTCCTCACAGGGAATGAGACTTTCTCCCCCCACACCAGCACCTTTCATGGTTGTTATGATGCCCAGGTGAAATTGTTATGCCCAGACCGTTTGTTCCCCAAAGAAGACCACCAGAGTCCAGAGTCAAAGCCAAGCGGCAAGGATCTTTTACTGCAAGTTCGAACTTGGTCCCTCCATTCCACAGCATACAAGAGGGCCCCGAACAATGCGAGTGCTTGCCTTTTATAGCCTGAGGTAAATAGGATAGTAAAGTTACAGAGGAGCAAGGGAATTCTTTTGGTTACAGCATTACAATTGGTTTACATTTTAAGTTATACATTTGGTAGTTTTTCTATTGGTTCCCGCGCTTTCAGTAAAACTACAAACGGCTGTGTCCTTATCGGGGATTTTCCAGGTGGTGTTTGTACTGGGCTCAGGAAGTTGAGAGATATATGGTGGGATGTGTTTGTACTGGGCCTGGGGTTGAGAGACAGGAGTGGTGGGATGTGTTTGTACTGGGCCTGTTTGTGTTGAGAGATATATGGTGGGATGTGTTTGTACAGGCCTCAGGAAGTTGAGAGATATATGGTGGGATGTGTTTGTACTGGGCCTCTTTGTGTTGAGCCCGGGGCTGAGGAATGTGCCTGATTTCTTTCAAAATCAATGTGAGAACTACTCCCCAAGGCCCTGGGGACCAAGTGAAACCATGTGATTCTCACCAGCCAGAGGCTCTCAGCAGAAGTGCTGCTGCAAAGCCAGTGAGCCAATGGCTGACTGCTAGAAAGCCAGTGACAGCCCAGCTGGGGCTGGGCTCAGGGCAGAGGACTGCATTGACAGCCTGCTGGGGCTGCTAGGACCTCACTCCCGTTTGTTTATAACATCCACTGGGTGTTTCTCTGATTATAAAATCAGAGCCCGTTTATCATGGAAAATCTGGAAGGTATAGAAAAAGAAAAACACAACGATACTTCTATAAATCATCTGTAATCTCACCATGGCCATTAGGCAACCTTATACAAAATTTTTCTTTTTTTTTTCTTGTTATAGAGACAGAGTCTCACTATGTTGCCTAGGCTGGTCTCGAACCCCTGGGCTCAAGCAGTGTCACTGCAACCTCTGCCTCCAGGGTTCAAGTGATTCTCCTGCCTCAACCTCCCGAGTAGCTGGGATTACAGGTACTTCTTTTGTGATTCTTCAGTTACTTCAGGCCATCTGGGCGTATATGTGCAAGTCACAGGGGATGCAATGGCTTAGCTTGGGCTCAGAGGCCTGACACCTGGAGTGAGCCTCTAGAATTCCACAACCATAACCCTGTCTCTTGTTGTAGCTTGGAGCTTTGACCTGCAGAAATCAGAGGACATGCTGCGGAAGGTGAGGTTGACACCTCTCCCTGCCTAGCCTGGTCCTGTTTCCTATCCCAAGTCTGAGGCACAAATTTATTCATTCATTAATCCATCCATTCATTCATTCATGGAACACGCATTCATTGAGACTGGAAGGTAAACCTGGCCCAGTGCTAGGCGCTGGGGAGACTGCAGTGATGGAAAGAGAGAAAAAAGAAACTAGAGTAACAAAGAAGATAATTCCTGAGAATGGAAAGTACAATGAAGACAGCAAAACAGGGAAGGAGGGAAGAGAGATCAGGGACATTTCAGTAGGGACATGAATGCCCAAAAGGAAGCAAGCATGTGAAGATCAGGGTGGAGGGCACAGCCCATGCAAAGGCCCTGAGGTGGGAATGAGCTGGTGTATTCTTTTTTTTTTTTTTTTGACAGTCTTGCTCTGTTGCCCAGGCTGGAGTGCAATGGCGTGATCTCAGCTCACTGCAACCTCCACCTCCCAGGTTCAAGGGATTCTCCTGCCTCAGCCTCCTAAATAGCTGGGATTACAGGCATGTGCCACCACACCTGGCTAATTTTTGTATTTTTAGTAGAGACAGGGTTTCATCATGTTGGCCAGGCTGGTCTCAAACTCCTGACCTCGGGTGATCCACCCACCTTGGCCTCCCAAAATGCTGGGATTACAGGCGTGAGCCATTGTGCCTGGCCTGAGCTGGTATATTCTAGGAGCACACGGAGATCGTGTTGGAGAGAGAAAGGGAAGTGATGAGTTTGCATGGGTGGCCCCAACCCATCAGCCAGGCCCTGCAGGCCTTGTAGAGGGTATAGGTTTTTGCTTAAGGGCAACTGGAAGTCAGGGAGGAGAGTCTGACTCCCAGGGTGGCCATGCGGGAGGGGCCATGGGAAACATCTGGAAGGATGCAGGGGGAGACAGCTGCAGAGTGCAGGCCTCCCCTGTTCCTTTCTGGGTCTCTCCTGGCCTCTCAGATGCATGTCCCCATCCTGTTTCCATTCCCCAGTTCTATGTTAGTGGAGCCTGGGGATGCTCTGGCAAGCCCTCAGTGGTTGCAGGCAGAGGGACCTGGCCTCGTGTCCCCAGGTATCTGCAGAGGTCTTTGGGACAGGCAGAAACTTCACCACCTCCTGCCATGTCTCTGCAGCATATGGAGTTCCGGAAGCAACAAGATCTGGCCAGCATCCTTGCCTGGCAGCCCCCAGAGGTGAGCATCTCTCAAACCCATGCCCTGATCCCTGGGCCCTCGGCCCTCGGCACTCAGCCTCCGTGTCCTGTGTATGCATCCAGGTGGTCAGGCTGTACAACACCAATGGCATATGCGGCCACGACGGTGAGGGCAGCCCTGTCTGGTACCACATCATGGGAAGCCTGGACCCCAAGGGCCTCTTGCTCTTGGCCTCCAAACAGGAATTGCTCAGAGACAGCTTCCGGCGCTGTGAGCTGCTCCTGCGGGAGTGTAAGCTGCAGAGTCAGAAGGTGTGTGGGTGCCACCCTGGGCAGCTGCAGCGGGACACAGCACCCTCACCCCCTGAGCCCCACACCCAGAATTCGCCTTCCTCCTGGTACTGAGGAGTGAATGCAGGTTCAGAGAGGCCAAGGACCCACCCAAGGCCACACAGTATGTGACTGAACTGGGACTCATTTCTCCCCCAACTGGCCCCAAAGCCTCCTCAACCCACTGGGCCACACTGCCCTCTGCAGCCTCATTGGATGAGGGGGACAGGGATTTCAGCCTCACTGGACCGCAGAGGGAACTGCAACACAGCAATTTGCCCTCCCATGGACAGACACAAAGAGGGCGGTCCTTGGGCCACTCCAGTCCTGGCATCCTGTAGGATGGCCCCTTCCCTCCCCCCATCTCCGTGCCATGCAAGCTGAGACAAGCCAGGCCAGTGCCCTGGGCTTAGGCCCAGCCCCATCTTGGATAGGGGTTGGGGCAGTGACCCTCACAGGGTCTCACACCCTGTCATTCCCTTGCAGCTGGGGAAGAAGGTGGAGAAAATAGCTGTTTTTGATCTTGAGGGGCTGGGCCTGAGGCATCTGTGGAAGCCAGGAATAGAGCTTCTCCAGGAGGCGAGGTGACCCTGCCAGGGGCATGGGTGGGTGGTCAAATGCCTCGGTCTTTGCCCTCCACTTGTTGGTGTCTCCTCACTGCCAGGTGACTACCTGCCCACAGGCCCTGTTTGCAGCTCTTCCTTTTTTTTTTTTTTTTTGAGATGGAGTTTCGCTCTTGTCCAGGCTGGAGTGCAATGGCGCAATCTCGGCTCACCACAACCTCTGTCTCCTGAGTTCAAGTGATTCTCCTGCCTCAGCCTCCCGAGTAGCTGCGCTTATAGGCATGCACCACCATGCCCAGCTTTGTACTTTTAGTACAGATGGGGTTTCTTCATGTTGGTCAGGCTGGTCTAGAACTCCCGACCCTCAGGTGATCCACCCCCCTCGGCCTCCCGTACTGGGATTACAGGTGTAAGCCACTGCGCCTGGCCTGTTTTGTTTTTTTGTTTTGTTTTGTTTTTCTGTTTTTTGTTTTTGTTTTTTTGTTTTTGTTTTTTTTTTTGAGACAGAGTCTTGCTCTGTCACCCAGGTTGGAGTCCAGAGGCGCGATCTCAGTTCACTGCAACCTTCACCTGCCAGCTTCAAGCGATTCTCCTGCCTCAGCCTCCCAAGTAGCTGGGATTAAGGTGCCTGCCACCACGCCCGGCTAATTTTTTTATTTTTAGTAGAGAGGAGATTTCACCATGTTGGCCAGGTTGGTCTTGAACTTCTGACCTCAGGTGATCTGCCCGCCTTACCCTCCCAAAGTGCTGGGATTGGAGGTGTGAACCACTGCACCTGGCCTACAGTTCCTTACTTTTGTTGGCAGGGATATTTTCATACCCACAGCCTCTCGGGGCTGTGCCAAGTTGGGCGTGGCACCCCCATGTCACCATCTCATGTTCAGCAGGTCACAACAGGGCCCCATTCCCCGACCTGCCAGTGTCCCTGTGGATGTCCCTGTCCTTATATTCTGTCTCTGCTCACTCTCCTCCCACCCCTGATCTCTGCCCTCACCCCCAATACCTGCCTACCCTTCTGCCTCCAGCCTTTGAGCTTCCTTTTTGCCATTTTTTCTGGGAAGGGCTGAGGGTAGATCAACTCTGGGAGTGCTGCAGTAGGAGGGAAGCTGTGGGGAGGCCTGGGCCTCAGGGCAGCCAGCCTACCTGTTCCTTTCTTTCTGTTTCACCCAGGACAGCAAAAAACTTAAACATAGAAAGTGTTATTGGCCGCCAGGCACAGTGGCTTATGCCTGTAATGCCAACATTTTGGGAGACTGAGGCAGGAGGATCACTTGAGCCCAGGAATTTAAGACCAGCCTGGTCTTGAACATAGCAAGACCCTATCTCTACAAAATAAGAGTATTAGCTGGGCGTAGTGGTGTGTGGGGGTGGTCTCAGCTACTTGGGAGGCTGAGGTGGGAGGATCATTTGAGCCCAGAAACTTGAGGTTGCAGTGAGTTGAGATCGTACCACTGCACTCCAGCCTGGGATGAACATTATATCTCAGTTTTTTTGTTTTGTTTTGTGTTTTGAGACAGAGTCTCACTTTGTTGCCCAGGCTAGAGTGCAGTGGCTCACAGCAGCCTCCGCCTAACAGGTTAAAGTGATTCTCCTGCCTCAGCCTCCCAAGTAGCTGGGATTACAGGTGCCCGTCACCACACCTGGCTAATTTTTGTGTTTTTAGTAGAGAGGGGGTTTCACCATGTTGCCTTGGCTGGTCTCAAACTCCTGACCTCATAATCCACCCACTTTGGCCTCCTAAAGTGCTGGGATTACAGGCTTGAGCCACTGTGTTTAAAAAAAAACAGATATTGGCCTGGCGTGGTGGCTCACACCTGTAATCCCAGCACTTTGGGAAGCCGAGGCAGGTGGATCACGAAGTCAGGAGATCGAGACCATCCTGGCTAACATGGTGAAACTAAAAATACAAAAAATTAGCCAGGCGTGGTGGCAGGCGCCTGCAGTCCCAGCTACTCGGGAGGCTGAGGCAGGAGAGTGGCGTGAACCCGGGAGGCGGAGTTTGCAGTGAGCTGAGATGGCGCCACTACACTCCAGCCTGGGCGACAGAGTGAGATTCCGTCTCAAAACAAAACAAAAATAAACAAACGAACAAAACCATTCCCTATTTGCAGTGTCTCTTATAAACAAATGTAATGGGGCCTATTGGGACTCATTTGTAGGAACCAAATATCCTTTTGTTTTTTTTTTGAGACGGAGTCTCGCTCTGTCGCCCAGGCTGGAGTACAGTGGCCGGATCTCAGCTCACTGCAAGCTCCGCCTCCCAGGTTTACGCCATTCTCCTGCCTCAGCCTCCCAAGTAGCTGGGACTACAGGCGCCCGCCACCTCGGCCGGCTAGTTTTTCGTATTTTTTAGTAGAGACGGGGTTTCACCGTGTTAGCCAGGATGGTCTCGATCTCCTGACCTCGTGATCCGCCCATCTCGGCCTCCCAAAGTGGTAGGATTACAGGCTTGAGCCACTGTACCCGGCCCAAATATCCTTTCATACAGTGTACACTTATTCTTGGCAAGAATGCTTTACTGTCTAACTAAGAGTTTTAACTGGTTTATCTTATTTAAAAATTTAAAAGTAAGTAAATAAAAATAAAAAGCCATTCCTTGCAACTTTGTATATTATGCTAAAAGAAAGTCTTTCTCATTCCTGAAGCTGAACTACTGCCTGAGCTATGTGGGAGGGAACCTTCCAGAGTCATGAATGGGATTTTTCTTGCCTGTCATGGGTAGAGTCATCCCCCCACTCGTCTGTCAAGAATCTGCACTAGGCCAGGCGTGGCAGCTTACACCTGTAATCCTAGCATTTTGGGAGCTGAGGTGGGAGGATCGCTTGAGCCCAGGAGTTCAAGACCAGCCTGGGCAACATAGCAAGACCCCATCTCTAGAAAATAAAATAAGAAATAAAAAATAATAATAAAAAGAAGCTGCACTAGCTGCTTCAAGGAAGGTCTGTGACTAGGATCCCACAAACCGGAAGTGGCGGATTTTCTGTGTCTGGGTGGGTTCTTGGTGTCTGGGCATCTGGAGCCATCTGCATCAAAGCCTTGGATGGTTGGCATTCGAGGCTAAGGCTGTGCCCTTGGGGGCCTGGAGGGCGGGGCGAGAGGGGATGCAAGGGGACAGTGTTCAGACGCCCATCACTTCTGCCACTTGGTTCCGCAGTTTTTCTCAGCACTTGAGGCAAATTACCCTGAGATCTTGAATTAGTTGTTGTGAGAGGTGAGTAAAGCAGCCCAGGACATGCATGAGTTGGGGGGACAGGGGGTGTGGGGTGACTGGGTGGGCACCTGAGACCCCAGTCAGCCACCTGAGAGAGCAGTTCTGTGCCTGTTTCAGCCCCCAAGCTATTCGCCGTAACCTTCAACCTGGTCGAGTCTTACATGAGTGAAGAGACACGCAGGAAGGTGGTGATTCTGGGAGGTGAGTGAGCCATCTGGGGCCTCTTTTCCAGCCCGGATCCTGAGCTGAGGGTGGTCCTTCTCACAGATCTGATGGTTCCTGCATCCGAAGGCATCAGGCACCCAACTGGTGTTGAGGGCCCACTGTCTGGTGGTCTGTCAGGTGGGCTGCTGTGCCTGCCCCCCAGAGGGAGGAGGGGCCAGGAAGGGTCTCAGAGATTCCCGGATGTAGCATAGGTGGAGATCCCAATTTGAGGTTAGGAGATCTGGATCTGAGACTTGGCCTTGCCAGTTATTAGCTGCAAGCAGAGTGAGTCACTCACCTGCTCTCTCTTGGTCTTGGTTTCCTCGTGTGTTTAATTTAAGGGAGAATTAGATACGGGTTTTTGGCGGCACACAGTGGCTCATGCCTGTAATCCCAGCACTTTGGGAGGCCGAGGCAGGAAGATTTCTTGAGCTCAGGAGTTGGAGACTAGCCTGGGAAACATAATGAGACCCTGTCTCTACAATAAATAAATAAATTAGCCAGGTATGGTGGTGCACACCTATAGTCCCAGCTACTCTGGAGGATGATGTGGGAGGATCACTGGAGTCCAGGAGGTTGAGGCAACAGCGAGCTGAGAGCACGCCTCTGAATTCCAGCCTGAGTGACAGAGTGAGACCCTATCTCAAAAAAAAAAAAAAAAAAAAAGAGGCCAGGCACGGTGGCTGATGCCTGTAGTCCCAGCACTTTTGGAGGCTGAGGCGGGTGGATCACGAGGTCCAGAGTTGAAGACCAGCCTGGACGATATGGTGAAACCCCGTCTCTACTAAAAATACAAAACTTAGCTGGGCCTGGTGGCGGGCTCCTGAAATCCCAGCTACTCAGGAGGCTGAGGCAGGGAACTGCTTGAACCCGGGAGGTGGAGGTTGCAGTGAGCTGAGATCGTGCCACTGCACTCCAGCCTGGGTGACAGAGTGAGACTCCGTCTCAAAAAAAAAAAAAAAAAAAAAAAGAAATCTAGGTTTTCCAAATTATGTAAGTAATACAGTTTAGAAATTTGTAAAGTACAGAAATGTATGAGGAAGGGGGGAACATCCTGTCACCCAGCGAACTACAGTTAACACTATCCTTTTCAGGGAAATATATTTTCCCAAAAAATGGGTTCATACCATACATATACTGTTTTGTAACTACTTATATGATAATCATTTTCCCATTTTAGCAAAGTTCTAAATTCAGGTTGTTTGTATTATTTTTATTATTAGGAACAAATCAGTAGTGACGATCCTTATAGACAACCTTTGTACACATCCACAATTTTTTCCATAGGGTAAAATCCTAGAAATGGCAGATGTTTATCCCCCAAAGGAAAATGCACATTAGGACTTTTTTTTTTTTTTTTTTTGAGACAGGGTCTCACTCTGCCGCCCAGGCTGGAGTACAGTTGGCATGATCTTGGCTCGCTGCAGCCTCAACCTCCAGGGCTCAAGCAATACTCCCACTTCAGCCTCCCAAGTAGCTGGGATTACAGGTATGCCACCACACCTGGCTACTTTAGGACTTTTGATACATTTTCCAGTGTAGTGCTCACACAGATTGCAGAGTTTAACTCCACCAACTGCGTGTGAATGTGCCCATTTTCCCACCCTCTTGCCATGGTTGGACATTAATAATTTGAAATGTTCTTGCCATTTTTATAATGGAAAATGATGTTTATTGTTATTTTACATTGGATTATTAGGTTCTTTTATCACTCGTGAGGCTGGACTTTTTCTTTATGCTAATTGGCTATTTTAATTTGTTGTTTATTGTCTTCTCGTGTCTTATGACCATTTTCTAGGAAAGTATTTTTTATGCTATTAATTTATAAATACTCTTTGCATATGAAGCACCTTGTCCTTTCCTGCTATGGAGGCTGACAACATGGGAGGATCACTTAAGTCCATATATATATATATATATGTTTGTGTGTATATATATTTGAGATATATACATATATATATGAAATATATATATTTATTTCAGAGATAAGGTCTCTCTGTGTTACCCAGGCTGGAGTGCAGTGGCATGATCATAGCTCACTCCAGCCTCAACCTCCTGGGCTCTAGAGATCCTCCTGCCTTAGCCTCCTGAGTAGCTGGCACTATAGATGCACAGTACCACACCTGGCAAATTTATTGTTATTTTTTGTAGAGTCATGTCTTACTATGTTACCCAGACTAGTCTCAAACTCTTAGCCTCAAGCAGTCCTCCTGCCTGGGCCTCCTGAAGTGCCGGAATTACAGGTGTGAGCCACCATGTCTGGGCCTTCCCTGTAGTATTTGTGACGTTTGGGCCAGTTCATAATTTGCCTATTATCTGATTTTTGACTTAGTGTTATTTATTTATTTATTTATGAGATGGGATTTCTCTCTGTTGCCCAGGCTGGAGTACAGTGGCATGATCTCAGCTCATTGCAACCTCTGCCTCCCAGGCTCAAGCAAGTCTCCCTCCTCACCCTCCCAAGTAGCTGAAACCACAGGAGTGCACCACCAGGCCCAGCCTAGTGTTATGTTTTTATGCCAGATTAGGGGGCTTTTCCTTTGTTTTTTCCACCGCTTCATGCTTACACAGTCCTTCTCTATCCGAGGGTACTGGGTGTCCACCTCTGCTTTCATCTATTTTGTTCCTGCAATGCCCATGTCCCTTTGTCTGTGGAACATCCTTGGCCATCTCAGAGCAGCTGTGGGGAACTGACACGAGTTTCGCCCTGCAGTTCTGAGGGTGCTGGAGCCCTGGGAGCTGAGGGCAGTATCTGACCAGAAGGCTAAGCTTAGTCTCTAAGGGAAAGTGAAGCCCAGGTCATAGCCTGCCTGACCTCAACCCCAGGCTCCAGGAGTTGCTGGTCCGAGTTTCTATGAACGTAGCTAATGGGCCAATACCTGGACAGAAGTGGGGGCAGGGCCTGCAGGGGCAGTAAGAAAGGGGCAGGCCTGGGGACAGGACCTAGTCAACACGCACATGCTGAGCCCCAGGGCAAGACCTAGGGCCACTCGGCTTCCCTCTTCCAGGACAGGACTGCTCTAGGCGGTAGAGTGGCAAAAGCGTGCCAGGGAGAGAGAGCAACTGGCCAAAGGACAGATCTGGGCTCGACCCCCTCTTCCCTCTGTTGAGTCTCCTGCAGTCCCTCTCTTGCTCCCACGCAGACAACTGGAAGCAGGAGCTGACAAAATTCATCAGCCCCGACCAGCTGCCCGTGGAGTTTGGAAGGACCATGACTGACCCCGATGGCAACCCCAAGTGCCTGACCAAGGTACAGGGTGCCCAGAGGATGGGAAAGGAGGGGAGAAGCTGTGATCTAGTGCCCACACACCCCCTTCACCCACAGATCAACTGTGGGGGTGAGGTGCCCAAGAGCTACTACTTGTGCAATCAGGTGAGGCTGCAGTATGAGCACACAGTGTCTGTGGGCCGCGGCTCCTCCCTGCAGGTGGAGAACGAGATCCTGTTCCCAGGCTGTGTGCTCAGGTAGGGATCGGAGCCACTCCACACCTGGGAACAGCTGGGAGGGGCCTGGAGCCCAGGCAGGGGGTCGCCAGTGGGGTTCTGTCCACTGCAGGTGGCAGTTCGCATCGGATTGCGGGGACATCGGCTTTGGGGTTTTCCTGAAGACCAAGATGGGGGAGTGGCAGAAGGCTAGGGGGATGATGGAGGTGCTGCCCAGCCAGCACTACAACGCCCACCTGGTGCCCGAGGACGGGAGCATCACCTGCCTCAAGGCCGGCAGCTGTAAGGGTTGGCAGGGATGGCTTCACCTGGAGCTGGTGTGGGTCTGGTGTGGAGGGTGCTACAATGTGCATCCATGTCCTACCAGGTAAGGGCCCTTGGTTCTGGTGGGCACAGTGTGAGGCTGGCTCTGGGCTCTCAGCTGTGGCAATGGTTCCCTGGTCTGGGTACCCACGTTCCCTGTACCACCATGAAAGTCAGAGTCCCAGGTGGGGCATCTTGTCTGAATAATGTCCGTCCCTCACTGCAGATGTCCTGAGGTTTGACAACACCTACAGCCTGGTTCATTGTAAACGCATCAGCTACACCGTGGAGGTACTGCTCCCAGACCAAACCTTCATGGAGAAGATGGAGAAATTCTAGGTGAACTTCATGGTCCCCACGCCCTCCTCTTTGATCTCTGAATCCACGATGAGTTCACGGCCTTCCCCGGCCAGACCCTGTTCAACCTCTCAGGAACAGGGATTCTACAACAGCGGGTCACAGCCTATGCATCACAGCTGGCCCACTCCTCAGGAACAGCTGGGGCAGTGTCCCAGTGGTGGCCCGACAGTCACAGCAAAACAACACAGACACTCCATCCCGACTATGACCTGCTGTGACCTCAAGCTCAGCAAAAACCCCAGGCTTTTTTCCATCAACCAATATCAAGAACTAAGTTACTCTTCTAAAATATAGTATTAGGCCGGGCATGGAGGTTCATGCCTGTAATCCCAGCACTTTGGGAAGCCAAGGCAAGCAGATCATTTGAGGTCAGGAGTTCGAGACCAGCCTGGCCAACATGGTGAAACCCTTATCTCAACTAAAAATGCAAAGATTAGCCAGGTGTGATGGTGCATGCTTGTAATTCCAGCTACTTGGGAGGCTGAGGCAGGTGAGTCGCCTAAACTTGGGAGGAGGAGGTTGCAGTGACATTGGGCTCTCTTTCCTATTACAATGGTTATTACTGAATAGTTTGTCTTCATTGCCTTTAATTAGTATTTGGCTTTATCTTTGACACTAGCAAATTGGACAGTGAGGATATAGGATGTATCTATCATTGTGGAAAATTCTGTATAACCTGATGATATTGGCCAGGCATGGTGGCTCATGCCTATTATCCTAGCACTTTGGGAGGCTGAGGAGGGGGGATTGTTTGAGGCCAGGAGTTTGAGATCAACCTGAGCAATATAGCAAGACGACTCCTCCCCCCACCAACTCTACAGAAAATGAAAAACAATTAGCCAGGCATGGTGGTGCATGACGGTAGTCTTGGCTACTCAGGAGGCTGAAATGGGAGGATACTTGAGCCCGGGAGTTTCAGGCTGCAGTGAACTATTATTGCACCATTGTACTCTAGCCTGGGCAAGAAAAAACTCAAAAACATTATGACATCATCAAATCTTCCAAAGAGAGAGCCACCTGAGCCAAACTGATCCTTCATCTCCTACGAGATGATTCCTCCAAATAGTCCAACCAATGAGGATATATATACACACACATATATATACACATGTGTCTATATAGACACACACATATAGAGAGAGAGAGCGAGAGAGAGAGAAGCAGAGTCTCACTCTGTCACTCAGGCTGGAGTACAGTGGCACGATCTTGGCTCACTGCAACCTCTGCCTCCCGGCTTCGAGTCATTCTCCTGCCTCAGTCTCCTGAGTAGCTGGGATTACAGGTGCCTGCCACCACACCTGGCTAATTGTTTTTGTATTTTTAGTAGAGGCAGGGTTTCACCATGTTGGCCGGGCTGGTTTTGAACTCCTGACCTCAAGTGATCCGCCTGCCTCTGCCTCCGCCTCCCAAAGTGCTAGGATTACGGGCATGAGCCACTGCACCCAGCCGAGGCAAAATACTAAAGAAGCCAATCATACCAATGACTCCTAACAACTGGATAGCATAAACAGCCATGTCGGAGGAGAGAAGGGGCATATCAGGCTGTAAACAAACAAATCCACCCGCATAAAATGTGTGAACTTGACAAGTCTGATTGAGGTAACAAAGTTTAACCATACCTAGTAAATTCAGCCTGATAACCATCAGCTCAGGTTTTAATCCCCTTGGGAGAAGTCCCAGGTTCCATGCCCCCTGCAGTGTAGAGTTAATTGGTTAATAACTTGGAGTTGTAACACCAAGAAATGTCTAATGCCAATTTTATTGTTTCAGTTGGGCCTATTCAGATAACAATTCCAACAAAATAGTAAAATGCTAATTTTGAAACTCAAGGAAGATGTCAAAGGGTGCAGCTGTAACCCTACACTGGAACCATGTGACTACACTGTAGGAAGGTATAAAAGCAGAGCAGAAAGAATCAATCCACAGATTAATTTCAGGTGGGATGTTTAGGAACAGGTTTAAATATAAGTATAGTACTAATTTTGGGGGCCACTGGACTTCTGCATTTGCTGTTTAAGGTGAGGTAGGAGGCGGGACTCCACTCCAGAGGCAGGGCTTGGACACTGGACCAAATTGAGGACAAGCTAAAATAGGGCTGGGGCGGAAGCAGTGTTCCATCAGGTATGACCACCAGTGTGCCATGTCGGTTTACCATTGCCATGGCAACACCTGGGAGTTACTGCCCCTTTCCCTGGCAATGGCTCCATGACCCGAAGGTTACTACCCCTCCCTAGAAATTTCTGCATAAACCACCCCTTGATCCGCATGTTATTAAAAGTGGATATAAATGTGACTGCAAAACTGTCCTGGCCTGCTACTCCCTGCCTACAGGGTAGCCCCTCTCTGCAGGGGCAGTCACGGAGCCGTAACACTGTCTCTTCAATAAAGCTGTTTCTTCTACCTCCAGCTTGCCCTTGAATTCTTTCCTGGGCAAAGTCAAGAACCCTCAAAGGCTAAGCCCCATTTTAGGGCTTGCCTGCCCTGCATCCAAGTTATTTGAAATGCTCAGAACCATGAGCTGTAATGTATTTATAATTTACAGGTAGACTATAATGTCCATAGACCAGGCACCAAGGAATACCCAGCCCTTGATACTCCCTGAGTGAGCTTGCTGACAGAGCTCTGGTGTGGAGCAAAGGTGAGGCGCTGACCTCTCCCTGTCCACTGCTTGCTCCTCCTCACACCCACCATGAATCTTTGCAAAAGCCTTCAGACCAGTTTCCCTGCTCTGAATGTCTGCTATTCCCAGGTCATTCTTCAGATCAGGGTCAGGGTCATCTTCCAGGCACAGGTGTAATCACATTTGTCCCTTCCTTTGAAACCTTCCATGGCTCCCCACCACTGAGACAGCATGGCCCAAAGTTCCTTGGTGACCTCCCCTTAATGTTTTTAAGCATGCTGCCTTTGTGGCGTTTCCGCTCTCTTTTACCTCCGTGAGTTTCTTTGGGTGGTCACCTCTACCCAGAAGGTCCTCCCCCCATTTCTACCTTAGAGGCCCAGCCTAAATGCCATCTCCTTTAGGAGACATTCCAGGAGCCCCCAGTGCAGTGCTGTTGTTTAGACCTCTCCTGGAACACATTATCTTCAGGGAGCCAGGATAATGTGGTGGTTAAGGACAAGAGGCCTTTGATGTAGATGGATAAGGGTTCAAATCCTGGCTCAGGCTGTTATCAGCCTCAGAAGCTCAGTCTCTGCATCTGTAAAGTAGGGCCGTGGGTACCATGATGAGCATGGCAAATGTGGTGAGTTAAGGGGGTGAGTCAGTCACCACAAGCAATGCCTAATGAAAATCACACTCTGAACAAGAGGACTAGGGTTCTGTTTGACCATTTAACCACGAGGTCTGAGGATGTGAGGCGCCACTAACTAGGTAGTGTGCAGGGGAGACGAGGGAAGAGCGTTCAAGTCAGAGGGAACAGTGTGTCCAATGGCCTTGTGGTAGGCGAAAGCAGCAAGGGGAGATTAAATGACCCCATATACTCCTGACTTGGTGTACTGTGTCTTGGGAAAGGCCAGGGACCTCCTGACTTTTTCTTTTTCTTTTTTGAGATGGCGTTTTGTTCTTGTAGCCCAGGCTGGAGTTCAATGGCGCGGTCTTAGCTCACTGCAACCTCTGCCTCCCAGGTTCAAGTGATTCTCCTGCCTCAGCCTCCCAAGTAGCTGGGATTACAGGTGCCCACCACCATGTCCGGGTAATTTTTTGTATTTTTAATAGAGACGGGGTTTCACCATGTTGGCCAGGCTGGTCTCAAAATCCTGACCTCAAGTGATCCACCCACCTCAGTCTTCCAGCGTGCTGGGATTACAGGTGTGAGCCACACACTATGCCCAGACATTTTTTTGAGACAGGGTCTTGCTCTGTTGCCCAGGCTGGAGTTCAGTGACCCAATCATAGCTCACTGCAGCCTCAAACTCCTGGGCTCAAGTGAGCCTCTCACCTCAAACCCCTAAGTAGCTGGAACTATAGGTGATTTCTACCCTATTGGCTAATCTTTTTTTTTTCTTTTTGAGGAGACGTGGTCTCACTATGTTGCCCAGGCTAGACTCAAACTTCTGGCCTTAAGCAATCCTCCTGCTTTGGCTTCCTAAAGTGCTGGGATTATAGGCATGAGCCACTGCACCCACCTCCTCCTGGCTTTTGTAGGGAAAGAAAGAAGTCCAAGTGTGGCCCTAGGGCCCCTGAACCCTAATCCACATTTTCCCCTGGTCCCAGGACTTTAGGGCAGCTGATTAGTTCCCATTCCCCATCCCTCTCTCTTCCAGGCCCTAGTGGCCATCTCCCTTCCTTGGGGAAGAAAGTAGGGAGGGCATGGCCACACCAGGCCCCTCCTTTCCCTGAGGTCACTCTGGGTTGGTGAGGGGAGCCGAGAAAAATCCTTCTGATTATAGAGCCTCATTTTCACCTCCCAGTCAGGCCCAGTTGAGAGGAGGCTGCCCTGCCCCGGGCACCTGTGTCAGGCAGCTTCCCCCTGCCCCGGGCACTGCCTGCCCCGGCACCTGTGTTGAGGCAGCTTCCCTGCCCCGGGCACCCTGTAAGCCAGGCAGCTTCCCTCTGCCCCGGCACCTGTGTCAGGCAGCTTCCCCCTGCCCCGGGCACCTGTGTCAGGCAGCTTCCTCTCAGTTCTCTCCCCAGAGTCACTCAAGCCAAGTCCTACATCGTTGGAGGAGCATCCAATGGGATCTGTCTGGTTAAGGCATCCTCAGGGACAGGCCGATGCAGCTTTGATGTAGGGCAAAGGCCCATCTCACTTCCCACGATGCGTGTCATTCACCCTAGGGAGGTCTCTTCAGTTGGCAGGCCACAGGGTTTAATGAGGGCTGTCAGCAGGGGACCTGTGGCCAATGAACAACGCCAGAAATGTTAGGAACACCTGGCAGGTGGGAGTGAGTGGCATCACAGTGCGTGGGCATTAAGATGTGGGATGCAGGTTGCATACCATGACAGCACCATCCTCACAGTCCAGTTTCTCAGCTCACGG